GACAACAAGATGCATAGTCTTTGGAATGGAGTTTAGATAAGAGCGCGTCCGAGAGGAGCCTTAGGAGATTATAATACTAAACCACACACCCTCTTGTAAATAATGAGCACGCTAATTAAGAGGATCTCCCAACATGCTTAAAACATTAACTTGAATGCATATGCATGATGAGGGATGGTAAAGGAACTATACAGCTCACCAATCAGCTGTATCTTACCGCTATAAATATTGGATTGTGAGAAATGGGTGCTGTGCTGGCTGTTGTTAAGTGCCCAGCACCTGATTCTGCAGAACTGAAATAAAGACAAATATCCTGACTTGGTGTGGTGATGGGTTTTTTGCACAGCGGGTGAAGAACCTTTATTTTAGGGACAACAAAGAGGCTGTTGCATGAGGAAGTTATATTTTGCTGGCAGTGGGAACTGGCAGACACACAAGCAATAAGGGCAGGAAACAGCAAAACATTCTGGAGGTGAGCCAGCACACTGCGAGGCTGAGAGTCCCACTCTCCTCACCACCACATCCCTCCGGAGAGTCAGTCAATTGCTTAACCCGTGCTTTTCACAAGCGCTCTGAGCTCCTCAGGTTTTTTTCTGGGTACCAAAAAACCCGATTTGCAGAAGCCCTGAGCGTTGTCGGCTGCTGTGCAGAGCTGTGCCCTGCTCACCTGCGGTTTTGCGTGAGCAGTACCTTGAAAAAACAGCATCTGCTGCCCGGGGAGCGGGTGCTGGGAAAGCTCCCCTGGCTGGTAAGCAAGCTGTGCTTGGGCCACCCACGGGCACACGGTGAGCCCCATGTAGAGCCTCAGGGGAAATTAATCACAGAATCACAGAATGGTCAGGGTTGGAAGGGACCTCTGGAGATCATCTACTCCAACTCCCTGCCAGAGCAGGGTCACCTACTTGCACAGGAGGGTGTCCAGGAGGGTTTTGAATGTCTCCAGAGTGGGAGACTCCACCACCTCTCTGGGCAGCCTGTGCCAGTGCTCTGCCACCCTCAAAGTAAAGAAGTTCCTCCTCATGTTAAGATGGAAATCAACGCTCATGCTGGCAGAGCAGGTCCTGAGTGGTGCGTGGGCAGGGAAGGATGAAGATCAGGAACACAAAAGGCTTCTTGCAGCTGCCGTGGGCTGATGCTCCCCAGCCCCATCAGTAATCGCTTGGCCTTTGGTTGCTCCCTCTTCCCATGTCCTCAGATAGAGCTGGGGCTTTGTCCAAAATAAGAGGAAAAGGGTAACACATGAGCACAAGCTAACTTGCAGCCGCAGAGAGGCCAAACTGCGATTGCCCCAGTGACCTCAGCGGAACTAATTGATAATTGCTGGAGCTTACTTGACAATTAATTGGAGCCAATTCACCATTAAATATTGAACTTTGCACCTTTGGTCTCACTTTAATTTTTTTTTTTTTGCTCTTGCCTATGCCTACATAAATAAGGATTTCTTTCCTACTGTAGTTTGAGTGTTGACACGCTTATAACAGCCCGCTTCCCCTCATGTGAGCCCTGGGAAAGCTCAGCAGGTCTGCAGGTGTTTCCTCGCCTGGCTGCTGGCTTTGCATCCCCACTGCTCAACCCCATGCTCTTATCCTGACAAAATCTCCCTCTCGCTCTTCTCAACGTTGGGCAAATCTCAGCAGCGCTTACAAATAGGTTCCTGGGGTTTTGCTCTGCTTGCACAAGAGCTGTAATTTGCAGATAGCAAGCAGCAAATTAGGAACTGATAAGTGCAAGCCCATTGACTGCAGGACAGGGATTTTTTTGTTGGCACAGGTGCTAAAAAACCCGCTCTACACCTGCCCGCCTCACAGCTTCCATCCAGCCATCCCTGGGTGCTGCCATTTCTATGACTGCGAACAAAATGGTAATGTTGCACTTTTCTGTAACAGGTTTCTAAAAACTGAGGAGTCAAAGGTATCCGCTGTCCTGTTCTTGAAAATGGCAGCAGGATGTCACCACAGGGCGGCAGGAGCCCCTGCTGCTACACACAGCATGAGCTCTGGTAGAAGAGAGTGTCCGGCCGGGCATGGCTCTGCTACCCGCTCACTATAGGTGCTGCTCCTTGCAGGGGAACTCCAGCAGCAGGTGAAATGGGAATAAAGATCACGAGATGGCCAGTATGTAACATAGGGAACAAGGTTTGCTTTTTTTTTTTTTTTTATTATAGTTTGTTGGAGTGTTTTGTACCAAAAGAATTACCTAAACCCCATGGTCGGCTATCAGGGGGATAAAGGGAACTTCCATCTCCCTGGGACAAGAAATTGCACGCTTCCAATCTGCTGCTTATTGGGAAGAAGCAATGATGACTCTCCAGGCGCATTATCCCCCCGTGAGATGGTTTGGTGCAGGTCATGTTCTCATCCCTGCCGCAAGCAGCAAAAATCATTACAGAGGTGAGAAAACAGCAGCTACGCGCACCCCCCCCCCCATATGGCCAGTGCTGGGAAGGTGCCTCCTTCTTCTGATGAAGTTCCAGTGATCGCAAGTGGTTCAAGGGAAGCGAGAGCTGGGGGAGGTGAATACGATAGCTTTTCAGGTTTCTTTATCATGTATATGCCACTTCTGTCCAAAATCATCCCTTTACATTAAAAATTGACCCTTTAGCTTTAGCAGTCCTGGTGGTGAAGCTTGAACAGAGCTCTTTTCTACTAGTTGATGAGGCTTAAGCAGGTAACCCACACCGAACACGTGGACTCCACCGATTTGCTCGATGACCAATGTTTTTTGATAGAGCAGAACATCATCGGCTGTCCAGCCAAAACAGAGTGGTGGGCAAGACCTGACTACCTAGTATTTAAAAAAGTGAAGCTGTAGAGATTTCTTTCATATAAATACTCCGGTCTTTATTGCTTAAACACGTCCTTAAGCTTTTTTCCCGCCTCTGCTTGTGTTACTCCTCGTGAGGTACCCTCCTGCTGCTCCAGCAGCTGGCCAAGGGCTGGATGAGGCTGATGAGCAGCTCCTTTTCCTCCCAAGGACCAACGCCATCCTCTCCCTTTTGGGTGCTAAGGCACACTTGGCTTCTGGGACAGGCGAGCGCCAGCTGCCCCCACGGGGAATGTCTCTTCCCAGCACTGAAAGAATTACTGAGGGCTCTCCATGACGCAAACCCCCGAGCAACGCAGGCAGCCTCATGCACGACAGAAAAAGAGAAGGAATGACGGCCTTTTGCAAGAAATTCATCTTTATTGAAGCAACCATGAGTCACACAAGCTGCCAGCTGGCCTGAGGAATAACAATAGCAGTGGCCTGGACAATAGCAGCTGGAGCTCACAAGGGAGATTGTCTCTCTCCAGAGAGCAGTATAATTAATAGTACATATATACATATAAGTGAATCTTTCCCCACTGCTAGAAAGTGGGTACGTTGGCAAGTGCATATCACCACGCTAGACCGAGGCGTGTTGGTGACTGCCAGGAGGTAGCTTGAGTAATACTCTGGAGCGGTTTGAACTTGATCCTGCTTCCAGTGAAGTCAGTGGTGAAGCTCCACCGGTTCCAAGGGAGCGGGATGAGGAGCAACAGCCCTTCCCCTCCCCCCAAAGCAGTTCTTTCCAATGCAAGACACCTGCAGCCATGTTAAAATTCTAACCAGGTGCTGTAGGCTGTACTGCTGTTCTGTTCTTGTACGTGTAATAGCCCCTGCCTGAGGGCCGGGACCTGTCCTGAACATCAGCATGGGGGATTCCACAGTTACCTCAATAAACAATTGCTACTTACTGTTTTTCATGGCTAAAAGCCACAACGGAGGAGAGGAGTGAAAGCTGTTGTTGGTTCAACAGACATTTCACATCGCCATATAGCTTACAGCAGGTTTTCCAGCAGGTGCTAAATCCATTGCAATGATGGGTTTCAGCTCAGAAATGGCTCTGCCTCCTTGCAACGAGGGCAAAGCACTCCGGGGAGCTGTCGTTTGAGCTAGACTGAGCGCCGAGTTCTTCAGTTGATCGAGGCTTTTTAAATTTCTGTTTATTATTGATAAGGTGATGTAAAGAGGACGTGGAGTTGGACATTGCATTGTTTGACCTGGCAGGAGATCAGTCCTGTTCTCTTACAGATTTAAACTTCAGTCCTGCCTGTATGTGTAATATCAAAGTCCTTTTGTATTGCACAGCAGCGCAGTGGGTTAGTGAAGCTAGATAAACACAGCGCTAAGGCTGAAAGTTAACGAGCCCCTGTGAAATCAGTGTGGCATCAAGCTCTAGGAGGTTGGCTATATCCTAAGAATTAAAAAATAATGGTGCATCGCATTAGCAAGGAGGAATAACAAAGGGATATGTCCTTATGCTTGGTCATTTGTTTCAAAGCTCATGCACTGCTTTCTGATTTTTTTTCCCCCGATCTCCACAAAAAGCTCTGTAAATCTGGCAATATTTGAAAAGAGGGGAAAAATAATTGACGGTCGTCAGATGCCTATATACTCGGGCACGATCAGAAACGTGCCCAAAGTCAATCATTATGAGTGTCCAGGCTAGGAGAGCACATTTCCTATCAGCAATGACACACTTTGTGTCCACATATTTGCTGATAGCAAAAGATCAGTCCTGGGCTGTGATCCAAAGCCATCTTCCTAGAAACACTGCATCTTTGGGGGTCATGGGGGACTGCTCAGATGACAGTGCAAGAGAAGTTTGGTTTAGCGCTGTGATTTTTGTTGGGCTTTTCTCTCCATTTTTGTCCTAAGGAGCTCTTTGCGTGCTGCTTGTGGAGCTACAGCCCGTACGTCCCCCAGCGAGGTGATCTGCATCTCCGAGCCCAGGTGCATGTCTTGGTCCTTGTCCATTTTCCGTGATGGCGTGGACCAGCTCCTCTGCAGAGCATCGTCCGCTCTGACCAGCTTGGAAATGCACGACAGCTCATAGTGCGGGAAGGGGAAACGTGTGACACACGTTCCACTGCCTGACCCCATGCAATGCCTTCCCGGGGGATTTTGTGGGTGACTTCAGACATCTTCCTGTGCCAAGAGCTGGCTCCACCTCATAGGGATGCCCAGGTGGCGGGTTTCTACCTCTCTCGCAAGATGTATTTGCCTTTCCGGTCCAGGTTGCTGCTGAAGTGGATGGAGAACCAGAGGAATGAGGTCAGGATCATCCCGTAAACCTAAAAGGAAATAAATGAGACAGGCACACAATTAAATGCCGAACTGATTATGATGCTCCATCTGTGCAAATAAGTGATCATAAATGTTGCCTGTTAGTCCACTTGGCACTTCTGAAGTTATATGTCAGGATGTCACATTTTTCTTAAGAGAGCTGTTTTCCAGTAAAATGGTGAACACCAGTTCCAACACGGGAGGAAAAAAACCTCTCAACACGTGGCTAAAGCATCTGATTGGAATTAGCACAGTACGGCTCAAACCCGGTCCTAAAAATACCAAGAAATGAGAAGAAACCAGGAAACTCGGATTTCCAATTCCTGACATGAAACATTCCTCTGTGCAAACAAACATATCTCTGGCATAATAATAGCCTTTTGTAAAGATAACATAGGGAGAAAAAAACACCAACAAACCTCACGTATTGTCTGGAGTGAGAAACCCAACAAAAAAAGACCCTAACAAAAACCAAACCCCACCCCATGCACGTGCACGGTTGTGAACACAGAGGACAGTATAATTCCTCTGTGTTGTGATATTCTGCGCCGTGTAACACACATCAGGATTCACACAGGCAGAGATAAGGCTGCTGTGGAAAGGATAACAAGGGCTGCAACAACCTGCTCTTTCCTAAAAGTCTGCCTTCACGTGCAACCACCTTTGCTCCTGCGGCTTGATGTGGGGACATGTGCGCGTTGTTGGCTGAGTGACATCAGAGCAGCTATAGCCCTGGTTGCGCGCTTCCTTTGCATCCTGCCATCACAATAGCCAACCGCGCAGAGAGATTTCCTCTCGCACACGCTTCAAAGAGAGCCACCTTATCGGGCTATAGCATCACCCCGTGAAAAAAGATACATCCAATAAAAATGTTGCCGCTTTTGTCAGAATACAGCTGCAGTGAAATTCCTCCTGTACCCGAGAAAAATTAGAAAGTGACACCAAATATTCACCCATGACTTTACGTTTATAGCTGCATAGCGGTGCCTGCTGGTTTTCCTAATGTACTACTAGCAGGATAAAATACAAAAGTGTTTGATCCTCTGGCTTTTATTTAGATGGAGAAGAGACTTTTAACGCATAATTGTGCCAAGGTGGACACAAGCAGTAAAACAATCTCCACGTACACATTCAGTCAGGTCGCCCCAGATGGGGACCAGCACGGTCCCCACATCACAGCAGATCAAACCTCCCTTCATGGTGAGGAAACAAGTCTCCTGGCATGCTTCACCACACGTGTAGGGTCCTCACGTAGAGGTAATTACAGTGACGCACCTCTGCCAAGCAGTGGGTGGGAATAGAAGCAGGCTCGTTTTAATTAGTGGTGCTCTCCAGCTCCGAAGGGACCATCCCCATGCAGCCACTGAGCTCCCTCACTGCTGCAGGACACACTCCTCTCTCAGCATTTCATTTTTGATTTTGTCCTCCCCCCAATAAGACTCACAAATTCAGTGCAGACCCTTTCTACCCATCCTTCGAAGATGATCCTACCCCCCTCCTCTGCAGGATCCTCCTTCAAAGAGGACACCTGGGAGCCCAGGCAACATGCTCTGCTCCTCTCCTTTGCAGCCTGCTCCTTAAGAGCCTGTGCTTCACCCACCCACTGCCCGAGATGCACCTTACCGGGTTCACTAGTGGTCATTAATAGGATGAGACCATCTCTTTCTGCACAGCTCTCCGGCTACACTGCTGGTGCTAGCTTTCAAGAGCTTCCAGCTCTGGCTACACAAAGGGACTTCCCAGGCTGAGCTGGGAGGCAGCCAGCGAGTGCTGGGCAAGGAGAGGCAGCAAGTTTCCTAAAATACAGAGCTTTTACTGCATCTCCTTTTCCAGAATTGCTGCTGGCTTCCCACCTGATCTGCAAGCCCTGCACCAGGTGACATGGTTTCTCGCTTGCAGGAGAAGATGCACAGGCAAGCCTGGGCGGATGAAATGCAGACACTGCAGGAGCAGGAAAACCCCTCCATCCATCAGCCTGGCCAAGACAAGTCCTGGCCCTTTCTTAATTTCCATGATGGAGTCTACTACTGCTTGTTTCTCTGCTGCCAGTCACCAAAATCATCCCAGCTTCTGGGGGCTAATTTGGGATACACCTCCCACGCTGGAGCCTGCCTCTCAGGGCCCAAATGCGAAGGAACAGACATAGCTACCGTGAAGCCGATGGTGATGCCCAGCAGCGTGGAGACGAAGTCCATGTGCTTCTTCAGGAAGTCCCGGATCTCTTGCAGGCAGTCCTGGGAGGAGAGAGACACCCCTTGCAGCACAGGAGCAGCTCGGTGGGGGACTTTGTCCCCCCAACAGCACCTGCCACAACCCCAGGTGGAAAGGGAGGCAAGAGGGGGATGCAGCATTGCACGGCTGGGCTGCTCTGCGGGCAGCTCTCCTTTTTCCTGCTGCTGGCTGCAACTTGGGAAGACAAACGCATGCAGTGTATTTTCTATTACTACAACATGCCTACGATTTTCTTGGTATGATGCATTTCGGACTGTGGGGGATGTGCGTGCACACAGGTAAGCATGGTCACGCACAAGCTTTTCCCTTTCCACTCACTGGAAAATGGAAAGAGGGAAATGAAAAGACGGAAAAGCAGAGCACACCATAATGCAAAATGCATTCCCCAGAGATACTAATGAGCAGCTCAATTTTGTAAGGTGTTGCGAGCATTAATATACATTAGCCTGAAGCATGCCAGTGGCCCCACGAGAATCCAAGAGGTGTTAGCCAAGAGAGCCATTTCAAAAATGCAAGAGCATGACCTGGATGATGTGATTCACAGAAGGAGGTAAGAGCGCTCAAAGCTAAGAGTGAACGTAGTGCAGCTACCAAACTCTGAGCTTCCCTGGGTCGCAAAATGCATCCTCCCACCCTCCACAAACCATTAACGGGGAGGGGGGAACAGAGCTACCCCTACGGTGGCCAGTTTTGCTCTGCTCTCCCTCCCTGTTCTTTGAGCCAAGCTCGACCCTGCTTGGAGATGTGACGTTCCCGGAGGCGGCACTTTGAAATGCTGCCCCGCGGGCTGACGCGTGCCTGCGCATCACGGAGTCCTGTTAGCGCTTGACATCTTCGCCTAACAACAATGTTTTCGTATAGCTGTAGCAACACGGTTTTGTTTTTCCTAGGGACAACATACATATTGATGCTGGCAGCTTTAGCTACTTCAGCTGATTTGGCTACTCCAGTGGAAGAAAAATAACCATACAATAGATTTGCTCAGAGAGCATGAAGCCTACATTGCGGCTTCAGCGCAAAGGCACTCTGATACCAGTGGCTTCTCCATCAGCCTCACTGAGATACTGCGAAGAGGAGGAATGAAGTGTACTTGCTGAAGCTACTGTTGGACATCATCATCCTGCTTCATGAGTTTCTCATTTTAATACCTGTTTAATGCCCTGGGGAAAAGGAATTACAGCAAACTACACGTTTGCTATTAGTGGGACACTTTTTAAGCCTCAGAAACTAGTGTCACATGGAAAAGACCAACAGTGTTTTTGAGCTCAGGCATATGCCCGTGATATCTCACACTCTCTGCAGAGGCAGGAAATGAGGAGGAAGCTGGAAGGAAGTGACAGGCTGCAAACACAAATATTTTGAAGGCTTTCTAGAGCTGGAAAAGAAACCCCATCTGCAGGTCTGAGACCTGAGAAAAAGAAACCCCATCTGCAGGTCTGAGACCTGCAGATCCACCAGGGCTCCTCTGTCATGTGAGGTGCCTCCTTATTGAAACAACATCCCCCCAGCAAAACAAACCCCAACCCATAGCAATGAACTATGAAAAAGCCACAATTCTCATTAATAATTAAACACCAGCGAGGTTTAAACAATTAGCAAGTAGCGGCACAACCCCACTGTGGGGTGGAAGAAACCTAGCCCTTACCTGTCCCGCGTCGCGCAACTGGCTGGATGGGCATGTCTTGTGCTCAACGTTGGCCGTGTCTCCAAATGGAGAGTGTTTCCCGCAGCACAAGAACTGGAAGAGAACGAGAGGTCTGCCAGCCACCTGCCGGGGCTCTTCCCTCGCTGCCAACTGGTGTGGCAGAAGGTGCGGGCGATGGGCCACCCTTCCTCCGCGCTGCCCCAGGCAGGGCTATACAACCAGGGCTGCAAGGAGCAAAGCGTGTAGGTATGCAATCAACAGCTGCAGCAGTGGAGGTTAAATTAGGAGGAGGTGGATGGATCCTGACCCAAACTTCCCCCTGCTTCTCCAGGACTGCTGCCTGGGGCTGGGACCGAGCCCTCCCTCCATGGTCACACCAGCTCTCTCAGTGGCTGCTCTGGAAAATCTAGGGATGCACAGATTGGGCTTCCAGTGCTTGTTATGGGCTTGCAGGGGGTGGGTCCCCAGCAACACTCACTGTGGAGCTGGTTTCCTATAGCCAGGGTGAGCTGGCCAGCTTGAAGCATTAGCAGAAGGGGAAAAAAATAGGAGTAGAAGACTGTTTCTCCATCAATTGAAGTGGCTAAAATAAGTAACTGATGAAGCTGGGTATTTTGCGTGGTTGTCCTTGCCAAGGGACACTCTGAGTGTGTTGCTCCACAAGCCTGCAGAGCAAGCACCACCGTGCCTGGTCATGTCTCTGAGGGTCACCACCATTGTTTGAATGAGAAACACTTGCCCTTTTCTGCCTTTTGAGAAGCACAGATGAAAGCAGCTTCGGAAAGTACTTGTTATGATGATTTAAGAAAACACAGAAGGATAAAGGGATCTGCATGGGAGGTGACTGGAAACAAGAGAGAGGAGCTGATCTTCCCATCCTGCCCTGCTGCGTGCCGTGAACTCACTACCTAATTAGGCCCTGCTGCACAAGGGGACAGCATCTCCTTTTACTCAGTGGGGACTCGGGAGTTACCTACCATGGAGGACAACCTCACTCATCTCCAGTGGCTTTGAAGGCAAGCGTCCTCCCTATGCTCTGGGCAACCAGTCTTGCCCACCTACTGAGTTACAGAGAGGTTCCCTGCACCAACAGCATGCTGGGTGGTGGTTTTGGGGAGCTTGCTAGGAGGCTCCAACAATGCAAGAGGCCATGTAACCTCCAGTACTCAGCCATAGGCTCAAGGGTAAACAGAAATAACCAAGTCCAAATACTTCTGCTGGACAATGTGGAATTCACCCACTCTCTCTACCTGACCGGCGACACCAGAGAGGTGTATATCCACCTTCTCGTACCACAGATAGGGAGCATGGCAGAGGTCCTGCTGGGACAGACAATATATACAAATCAGTTACAGCGTGGAAGCTTTGAAGATCTCGCACCACAGCGATGCTCAGGTAGGTGGCCCTTTTCTCCCTGTTGATAAACTGGTTGGTCAAACTTGGGAAAGGAAGAGTAGGAAGGAGCAGCAGACTTCACAGCAGTCTGGAGGACTCAGTTCCCGACAAAACGGCATTGCAGCATCCACGAGGCAGAAGACAGGCATCAGCCCCAGCCTGCTGAAACCATCAGGAAGGCACCCCAGGGCAGGGTTTTCTGCTAAGGCTGAAAGACAACTTACTGTTTCGTGGATGGCAGTCAGCTCGTGCCTCCTGAAACTGGAGGCGTTCCTCCTCACCTCCTCATACACAAGATCATACACATCCATCATGCTGCCTTCCACCTGCAATGAAAGCAGAGATCTGTACATGGAAAACACTGACTGTGGTCGTCTATGGAGGGAAATATGCCCCTCTCGCATCCCCCCCAGAAGGTGTCCCAGGTATAGCAAGACAAGTAGCACGGGTATTAAATGACCACCGTGCAGAAGCATGAGCTGGTGTATGACCCACCATGCACCGAGGGGCACCACAGTATGGCGAGTCCCATGAGACAGACTGCAATGCTGCATGTGTACCACCTTCTGCTACGTGTGGGCCCTTCGGCATCACACCACGGTCTCACCAGCTGATGGCTGGAGCTTTTGACCAGTTTTGGATTTAGGGTCAGAGAAAAACTCTGGTGCCTGTGACCGGTGTGCCTCCAAGTCCCTCTGCCAGGCAGGGATGACACCATCTCCCTGTCCTGATGGGTGACTGTGAGGACAGGCACACACGACCGTGAGATGCTAAAATAAAAAGGTGAGAGGACCTCAGATGGCTGGTGTTATCCCAGCAATGGAGGAGTTCCTCCAAATAGAGCCAAAAAAATAACAGAGTGATTCAGCAGTGAATCAGACCCTAAATATTTACTGAACGTGTGAGAACTCACAGCTTGACAGATCCCAGCCAACTCCCACTTGGGTTTCAAAGGGAAAAAATATGACAATTGCCTTCAGCGCCTGGAGTCAAAACCTTATTTCTTCCTTTCGTTTTCTCTGGCTTCCTCGCCAGCATCGATCTGAGCGGACCTGAAAGCAGCGCTTGGCTTTCAGGAGGGAAAATCGATTGGCGAGACAAACAAAGCAGGTGGCCACACAGGGAGGGACAGGCGCTCCGGCAGCCGAGCCACCTCTCAGTCAGGCTTTTCAGCTTGGTCTTAAGGGGCTGTGCTTGGAAATTACTCTAGGGGGAAAAAAACACCCAGTGCTGGGTACTTGGGGGTTAAACCGGGGTCATTTGAGGTGATTGCAGCCATCTCTGCAATATTGCTCTACCCTGCCCAGCTGTCCAAAATGCAAGCAACTAACAGAGGCTGATAACAAGGAAGGGGAGAGAGGGAGGTTGAGAAGATTACTTGTACCCATCTCAGCTCTGGGCCACCAGGAACAGAGTCTAAATGCTCACATCAGAAAATTTTCCACAGCTATTAACGTGGCATAGAAGTGGAGGGGCTTGGGGGGTTTCTCCGTGTTTATCTGCGGCAAAGATGCTCTCCCCCCAGGACACTCCATCACCCATCATGGAGCAATGAGGAGGTGAGGCAGGAGCAACCCAGCTTTAATGAGAGAGGTCCGATGACAGACAGGGCACAGGTATTCTGAGCCAAGGAAAAAGTCCTCCGTAGTAAGGTGCATGGTGCTGAGCTGTCCCACACAGGTGAGGAGAGAGGACGCTCATTTCCCCCCCGCCCCGGTGTATCAGAGTGCATGGAGCGGGATGGGCGCAGCAGTAAGACAAGATCTCTAGCAGACTTGTGCACCATCCTTCCGATGAGAATGCCTTAAACCCCAATAAAAAGGAAAACATCCAAGCTTTTCTAACTTCTTGTGGGCCATGAGATAGCTTTCCAGCAGCAGCAATTAAATAAATGGTTTCAATAAAAAGAGCATCCATTTCCATTGAAGAATTGGATTAAGAATAATGAAAAAAGAATAATCTTTTGACCTCCTCTTGTGGCCTTGTGTTGCTGAGGAAGGAAGGAAGAATAGACCAGATGGCTTCTTAACCCAAGAGATGATTACATTTTTAATATCCCAACCCCGTTCTAAGATGCATGAATAAAACTATTTTGTGTTGTGACAACATACGTATGGATCTTGGTAAGATAATGGTGCTGCACATGCAATTTTTGCCTTTTCATATTTATTTTTAAGCTCAGGATGATGACCTTCCCTCCAAAAGGCCTAAATTTTGATGACAAAAAAAAGAAGGGTTTCAAGCAAGTTGCTGGCTTCAAGCAAGGGTTCAAGGGCTGGAAGCAATCCAATAGTTTAACATTAAAGGTTTACTGAACACTGGGCTGGGAAATGCTGGGACAGGTAGTTTTAAGCCCTCTGCTTTGCCTGGTCACATTCCCCAAAATCTCACAAAAACTGGCAAGAACCCTCCTTTGACTGCAGTGAGTTTTGGGCTGGATCTGGTTGCTTAATTTACAACTGTATTCAACTTAAACCAAGGTAAGATGGGACTTTGTCCAGTGATATTTCATCTGCAAAGACCATCACAGGCTCCCTAGCAGCAGAATGGGCTCTGACCATGCCACCAGAACCAACTCTCTGCAGGACAGTCAATGCTCATTAGTGTTTCGTCCTGATAATAAGCCTCAGGGCCCAACTGAGGCTGATGTTCTCCTCAGCAGCTTCTCAGGTGGTCGTGCTGCACTAAGCAACCTGGGAGGGGGGCAGATGAGCTGCCCAGATGTTGGCAGCTGCTGGCCACTGCCCGTAGCCTGAGGCAGCTGCCAGACTGACAAGCTCCTGCCAGCTGCATGAAACCACGAGAGGATGGATTTGGCCAGCAGAAGTCCTGCCTGACGCAGTGGTGCACGTTTGTACCTTCCTCGTTATATTAGGTCCCATGCAACACCATCAAACATTGAGACAGAATCACAGAATGGTCAGGGTTGGAAGGGACCTCTGGAGATCATCTAGCCCAGCCCCTCCGCCAGATCAGGGTCACCTACAGCAGGTTGCACAGGACGGTGTCCAGACGGGTTTTGAATGTGTCCAGTGTGGGAGACTCCACAACCTCTCTGGGCAGCCTGTGCCAGTGCTCCACTACCCTCGAAGTAAGGAAGTTCCTCCTCATGTTTAGATGGAACTTCCTATGTTCAAGTTTTTTCCCGTTACCTCTTGTTCTATCACTGGGCACCACTGAAAAAAGACGGTTCTCATCTACCTGGCACCCTCCTTTTAAGTATTTGTAAGTATTGACAAGAGCCCCCTCAGTCTTCTTTTCTCTAGACTAAGGCTGTTTGAAGGAAAAGAGTGGCTGGGAAAGAATTGAAGGAACAAGATTGCCATAACAAAGCTATGGCAGAAAATTATTCCAAGTGTTGGAAACAATAAGGGAAGAAATCATGAGCAGTCACCGTTTCACAGCCAGCTCGACTACAGTGATGATGATGATGATGATGAGGGTAATCTCCAGGTACATAATGACTACTAAAGACTTCAATTGCACCCTGTTTCTGAGCTTGCTTGTGAGCTGGCTTCTCAGCTATTTACTGATTATTTTCATTCTGCCAAGCAGCCTCCAAGAACTGAAAGCACAAAGGATTAAGTGTAAAATGTTTTATAGCACTAATTTCCTTTTAGAATGTGTGTCTGGGCAAGCCTAAGAGTACAATTTGCTGATTAGTCTTTCTCAGCATTTCTATCTAGCAATTATATCTAGTATTTATATCCAACTATTATCTGAATATGCTATTCAGGTCCTGGGAAGGGAACATCAAACTAACAAAACATTTTTTAAAGAGTGAATTGACTGTAGTTCCTCCACCTCATCTTTGAGATTTTTTCTAGTATAATTTGATTTTGGAGGGGAAAATTGCTGTCTTCATACAATGTGGCGATCTGTTTTCAAAGATTACTGCAGAGCGCTTTCTCATTTAAATATTTCAGAGGGAGGTATAAAGTAGTAAATCTAAGCATTTATCACTGGCTGTTTCCTTCTGCACAGGAAGCCACGGAGCATACAAGAGGTCTCGTTTAACAAGGAGACATATAAGAGCAAAAAAGATTGCCCTAATGAACCATCATCGGCAACTTTTCTGGCTGGGATGGGTTTATGTTTACACTCAGAGCTGCAGCCGAGCTCTGAAGCACCAGTCACGCTTGGCAGTGTCTATCCGGCCCAAAATGGCTTGCTAAGTCACGCATGCCTAATGATGTAAAAAATAAAACCTGAAAGCACGAGACAAAGTCACTAGGTGGTTTCATGACCTATCTTGATTTGCAAATTATTTTATCCAGCAGATGCAAGTTCATCCCCATATTTTCCTTTGATCTGGGACACAACACAGTGAAGAGCTAGACAGCAGCACTGCTTTGTGCCATCCCCAACACTCCACAGACGGGCAACTTTCAGTCCGTTGCCTCAAAATTATTTTCTTTTTCTGTTTCTTACACCAGGTGTTGGAAAAAAACCCAACCCTATTACAAACAATCAGGGTGCTTTCTCTCATGCTTAAGCAACAGGATGCCTTTTGAGTTTGAGTGGCTATGCTGATAGTGTTAATAACATGCTTTAAGAAAACCACATCTGTGCCCCATCCCTTAACTTAGACAGTAGTTAGCACATAATGGACCAATACAGCTGGGGAAGAGAAAGTGTGTCTGGGCTTTTCGACAGGTTTCACACTCCCCCCACATATTAGCATCATTATGGTCAAGTGGATTTTCCTGTTCCTAGTGACCTGCTGTGACCCACTGCTGGAGGAGTATTTCTGGACAAAGTTCTCCCTTGGAAGGAGACGGCGCCTGCGATGCTCATCAGTAAAAAACACTGAGAGCTGAAGATGAAGAATCAGCTGGGCTTTGGCTTAAGAAAAATGCCCAGGTTAAGCGATACAGAGGTCACACCTTACAGTCATTCTTTCCTGGAAGATGCAGAGTGAAATGTTCCAGCCCTGAATTAGTCAAATAATTGCTGCCTCCCGTTTCTGTCTGCATTCCTTAATGAAACATTCATTTAGGGATGATATCGATAGGTTGTTGGACACAACAAATGGAAAATCACCACCGAGATTGATGCGGCTGACTCCAGCTGACTCAATAGAGTAGCATTTTTCACTGAAAGTAGAAGAAAGAAGGAATTTTGAGATTGTTTATCATCCTTTAAATCCGTTATCCCCCAAGAAGCAGAATTTATGACTGCAGGAAGGTGTTTACTCTAAGCCATTAGTGCTCTTGCCCTTGGCTATTAGAAACTAAAGCAAATTTCAGTCTTACCTCCTTCAAGGGGAAAATTTTCATTCTTGTCTTGGGTTATTTATCAAGGATAATTTTTATCTGTAACTGGA